CCTTTCGGCTGTGAGGGCATTATAATGTGACAGTCAACCCCACTATTTATTAGTAAAAAGAGTAGCAAGAGTTGATGGTAGATAGTGTTCGCTATCTACCTTCCCTTAGGCTTCTGCTGCTAAATTAGAAACAGCTAATGCAGATAGTCTTTGTGTAGCTTTGCATGAAATTAAAAACAAACCAAACTTTCCAAACATCCAATTGATTTTCGTCACAAAGATTACCATCCTTATCAGAGTAGCTGTGGTTCTCTAAAACTTGCAGCAGAGCTTCTCTTGGAATGGCCTTGCACATGCTTTTAACTGAGTGTGTGTGTGTGTGCCCAGCTAGAACAGTCAAGTAGTGAAAATAACTTTTCTATACACTTAACTGTGTACAAGTCCCTTGTGGAGAACGTGTAAGTTAAGTTCTACCTTGAAGCAGAGAGTGAATAGAGAAACATTTCAGATGAAGTTGCCAATGGTTAGTTTCCTGTATAGTGGCTCAGTGGTTGGTGGCCAGTTGTGATACGCTGACATACTATACTTTCTAAATGTCTTTAGATGTATAGATATTTTTTCAAAATTTATTTATTTAGTTCATATGCAGTTGTAGCTTAAACACGTGGTTCAGAAAACTGTTAAAGTTGCCTTAGTCTATTTACTTTATTTCTTTGCTAGTTAATGTCTACTATATCCGAGGGGATATTGTAGTATCATGGTGCATTCGTGTTGAAAGGGTCACCAACTATAATATCCTTTGCTATTCGAAAGGATGGTGTCTGTATGTTACAGCTAGAGCTAGCAAATGCTGTGAAAGAAAACAAGGGTCATTATGTGATGCTGTTAACTGGATAGAGAAATAGAGTTTACCTGTTGAATTCAAATGTGCTTTCTTGGTTCAGTTCTTTTTGGAGATTCTAGGCTAAAGACCATGCTTTAGATTATCATGTTTCAGAGCTATCAGGAGAGTGTGAAAAACTGTGTGACTAAACATCACCTAATAGATAATTGACTGTGGTCCTGTCTGCGCAAATAAGTAGATTGAGTGCTCTTTTACTTTTATAATAAAGATTATATATATATTTCGTTCAAAATTTGTACAGTCGTTAGTTCACACACAAGTAAACTCAATCAAGTTTTCAAGTACAGAGTACTTCACAAATTTTAGCCATTATTAGCGGATCTATATCAGATACTTATACGTAAATCCGTTCACTTTAGAGTACGCTCATGCATGAAATGATACGATTTCGTATCTTGTCTTGTTCATCTTTAAGGAATCCACATGTATATATATAACCCAAAACAATTTATATAGTGATAGTAATATTACATCGATTCTTTCTCGTGGTCATTATGTAACAGTGGTATTAGAATATTAAAACATGCATCATTCCTTTTGAAGTAAATATATATACAACGTCAATATTAGCATACTATCCTTACTCTCTAATTCTTTTTTAAATTGGTTTATAACATCTAACCCAGCTCGTTCCTTATGTTTTTCTGAACGCTACTCTAGCAATATCCTACACTCGTACCTTATAGATTTTTCTAAAAGCTATAAAATTGATTTAAAATTCAAAACCAGCTAAAATTGGATAGAAAAAAAAAGGCATCGTTTAAAAACAACGTTTCGCCACTGTTAACATTGTATGATGATGCCAGGTTAACAGTGGCGAAACGTTGTTTTTTAAATGATGCATTTATTTTCTATCCGTTTTTGAATGTTGTAGAGTGTGGGATACCTCCAACATGTATATTTAAAAATTGATTTAACTTGTCCATATATTCTCAACTCCTTGTCCCATTCTAAACACTGGTCCTATTTCAAATGAGGACTATCTTAAAACATAACATAAAAACGTGTTCTTTTGACGTACACATAACGATTGTTATTTATCCACCAGGAATATGCCTTTTGTACACTGCAATTTAAAGGGTTTTCAAGCATCAAAATGTAATGCTCCACATATACAATAGTAGAGTGCAACATACTGTTTTTTATGTGCTTTCTAATTGCAGTTTTGGTTTTGTAGTGTCGTTTTTTTCTCTGTAATTTTGAATTTTATTACATAATCTCTTGCACTAAATAGATTAGTAAGAAAGTTTGTGCTAAATCAAATCAAACTGTGCGAATTAGTTTCTTCCATGTATAGTATAATAGTTGTAAACGAAGAACACAGCTTTTCAAATGCCATTGATATTTTAAGTAGGGTTTTATCACACAGTCTCTCCCTTAAGATGTCAGTAAAACAGTTGTGCTCTATCCTGATCTATAATGTCACACGCTACTTCTATACATCGTATAATAAATTAAAGTATTTGGGGAGGGGGGCTATCTCCAGCTCCTGCCTAAGATTTAGTTATATCCGTCCCCAATTTTAAATACTGACAAGAGGAAATGTTGCAAGCCAACAGCAACTTCCTTTATGGGGGCACTGTTCAACTCTTTGAACGGAAAACTGGATTGACTTTTACTTCTATAATGCACCTACAGCTGAAAGCGTGCAGTATGTTTATTCTAATAATGCAGGTTTCCGAGAAAAAATTTATACATGTACTACTCCTCTCCTCTCTCAATCAGTTCCCCACCTCTTCCACATACATTGGAAAAGTAAGTCGACATACACTGTATTATATTCGTCCGACTCGGTGTTTCCATTGGCCAATTAGAGAACAGCATTATGACATGTAGCTAACTTGATGATTAAACGAAACGGCAGCCTCAGTGACTTTTAGTGTGAGAATCCCATTGAACTCCAATTAATAATAAGAAAAGAACAGTAAAACCAGAGTCTTGCTAGTATTGTGTCGGTGACCGCTATTGAGCGTTAATTATTAAAATCCCTCTGATAATTTTTTTTTCTTATTATTATTGAAAGCAAAACTACACCAGAGGTTAAACAGTAGTAACTGATAAATATATTGTCAAAATAGTACTATATTCAGAACTGCTTATAAGAATAAAATAACAAAGAGCCTTCATTTTGCAAAAATGCGTTGATAAAGTTTGTAGGCTGAATCTAATTACACACATCGAGAAAAACCTATACTTAAAAAAATGCGTTAAACGTTTTTCTAAACGTACTGGCCAACTCGTTTTTGAAAGACTTCATGGTTTGTGATCAGTAGTTATACATTATAAAGTATTTAGGGTCTGTAGAATGTGTCATGTGACCCAAATTCAAATAAGTAGGACACTACATTGCAAGAACCTGTAGTATCGTATATACACAAGTGTAGTATAGTTACATTGTATTATACTATCCTACAGTCATGGACGCCTAACATATATAGAGGGGCACGCGCTCCTCCATTTTTTCTGTAGTACATATACTATCATTAACAAATATCTTGGACTGACTTGGTTTTGTTCATTTTCCAAAACATTTGTAAGATTGTACAATGTATTTTAATATTCGTATATGTCATAAGCCTATTATATACTAGTAACAGTAATTAATATTTTGTACCCAAATTAATATATTTCTTAATCAGGTGCAACAACGACTCGGAAGTTTGTTTGTTGTTGAATTTCGCGCTAGCCGTCCCTAATTTAGCAGTGTAAGACTAGAGGGAAGGCAGCTACTCATCACCACCCACCGCCAACTCTTGGGCTACTCTTTTACCAACGAATAGTGGGATTGACCGTCCCATTATAATGCCCACACGGCTGAAAAGACGAGCATGTTTGGTGTGACGGGGTTTCGAGATTGCGAGTCGAGTGCCAGTTACCACCTGGCCATGCCGGGCCCGACTCGGAAGTAGTACATAAGGTATAATAAACATGTTTTTATCTCTATAGATGTAATCTCAATTGGTTGCCTAATATAAAATTAGCATATGCTGAACAAAATCATTAGACAAAAAAAACAGCTAAGAAACAGGAATACTGATATAGTGAGTAGAGTTGCTCGAGAGGCAAATTGGTTTAACAAGACATAGTTGAAGCTTGGACCACCAGGTAATTTTACTTCTACAAAACAGCCAAATAACAACAGTGATCTTCTGTGATGCAAAATAGTCGAGATTCTGAATGTTTGTATCACTTGGTTGTCTGGGTAAATTTGTTGGCAGTTTCCTCTTAGAGTCTGTGTTATATGTCATCAGGCACATTATTTAACAGAAGCTAGCACATTTACACCCAAACATAAGGTAAACATGCAAAGTTCTCTACTTATACCCAAGTCTCTTCACCTCATAGATAAAAAAAAAAGGAGGCTAATGTCTCCACGATGTCAATGAAACAATCACTCTTTAGGCTTATACTTTATTGCAGGACACATTAGTCATCATCAATGTACTATGCATCTCATAAAAACTACAGTTAACTGACAATTAAACCGCTATGAATGACAACATACACTTTTTCATAATTCCAGATGTACATAAAACAGTCTTATTTACATAAATACTACTACAGACATTTTTTTTTAATAATACAGGTTTTTTTACAAAACAATTTAATGCCTTCAAATTACCACAATTGTTAATGCACATGGTAAGAATTTAATTCCTCTTTTTATCTTGCTGATATCTCAAATCATCTTGTGGATTACTGGGGTATCAAATCATCTTGTGGATTACTGGGGTATCAAAAGTAGATGAATACTAAAATAAAGTACATACGAGACATCATGAATAACATCAGTAGTGCATAATGTTTAAACGTACTCTTAAGTTCAAAATGATTTGCTTTTCACTTAAAGAACTTTCAAAAGTACTTTCTGTTACAATGAGAGTATATACTGACAGGCTCAAGGATATTACGTTACATGAAATATCTTAACACTTACTTAACAAGGATAACATCAAGTTTCAAGTACAAAGCCATAAAATCAGACCAGGATTATTAAGAATCTACAATAACTGTGTACGTTTTACACAATGCCAGGGGTAAATTTTGTGACACTTGAGTGGTTTGATGGAAGCATAATTTCATGAAAGTGGTATAAAATATTGATGTTGTGCCTTCTGTGATATTAGTTTAAGAATTTTATTAGGATTTATGACAATTTTTATTATAAAAAAACAAAAGCCTGGAATTTTGAGATTTCAGTCAATGGTTGGCTCAAACTAATTGTACGACCTTATAGTTATCAGATGCCTCGACTAGCGTGTAAACAATATTCTAGTTGAAGTACAGAAGATGATCATCAAAGCTAGTAGAGTACAAATGTCTTGTCAAACTTGCTTTCAACTGAGAAGAATCATGGACTTGTAAAAATAGAATGCAATTATGGATACACTTCATGTTGTCAGCTCAGGAACTCCGCTCGTGATGCTTTTTCCAAGGCTGACATCCACCTGTAGTAGGAAAGAGTCACACACACTGTTAGTTCATGTGTTACCTTCATATAACTAAGTCTTGATAAACTAAAGTATTATAAAGCATCCCAATAACTTTTTACAGTGAATTTTTAACCATATGAACACATGATTGCACGGGAGAAATAATTAGAAGCCATTATGATGTTTCAACTAACTCACTATATCAAGACAATTTTTGGGATTATTTTATGGTAAAAATAAAGAACATAGAGCAAAACGGTGCTAAACAATAATCATTTGTCATTACCACTTAAAATATAGTTGCATATAAAAAAAAACAATCAGTTGGCCAATATTTAGTATTAAAACAATGTGCTAGACAGTATTTCAGACATACAAAATTTCACTGATCTGGAGAAAACAGTCCGATTCTGTATGATTGCAAGTCAAACGATGAGCTTTGGAACTTAAACATAGATATGTTTACCAGCTTTAACTGAACCATTTGTACAACTGAAATATTTTTATATAATTACACACACAATTCTGAAATACTTTGATTGTTATTGGAGATAAGAAATTAATGAAAATCAAATATATGCAAAATAATGTTCACCTTTTTTGTTCATCTGCATCAACAGCTTGAAAATAATATACTTTTTTCTTGTGGAATAACTTGAAAACATTCTCTCTTCCATCAATGTTCTCAGCTTTATCTGGTATTGCTACAGTATATCCAGGAACAGGTACAGAAGTCAGGGCTCTTTCATCCTGAAGACAGTAAAAGACACATTGATCAACCATAGTATGATCAGATGAATATAGCAAATATTACATGATGTTTTCCAAACAATATTTCACCACCGAATGTGCAGTACTAGTTAAATAACACAAACATACCAACTTGAAATTCACATAATCTAACCGACAAATGTGGGGTTACAGGGTTTTATTCATTTCTATCAAGACTTCTTGAACCCACGTGTTTTTCTAGCATCATGACAAATGTGGGGTTACAGGGTTTTATTCATTT